GAGCCGGCCTGTCTACTACATGGGCTTTGGGCTCAGGCTTGTGTCTCTTGGGGCCCAAGCCTGGCCTATAGGCCCGGGCTTTGGGTGTCAGAAAGTGTATATAACTGATAAAAAGGACAGAAAGGTAATTGTCCTTATAGTCTAGTGGCTGGGCCCGAGATTGGGCTCGTGCGCTCGGCTGTGATGGCGCGGGTTCAAACCCCACGCTGTGAAACCAGTCTGGGATTTTGCTTCTGCTACTGAAGTTTTGACCTTCTTGTGCTTGTGTCCTTTCTGTGCAAATCTTACGAAAATGTCTCTACCACACTGGACTCACGTTTACGCAACTGTCAGGATTACCAAGAATGAACAGATTTTGGCTGATTAGACCTTACTATAAGTCATGAAAGATACATTACAATGCACTGTGCACGTGAAAGGGGTTTAATGTCACCTCAAGCGGGGTTGGAAACTACTTTTCACTCGTCGAACGGGTTGCTCAGGGTGAAAACCGCGCTGGAGTGAATGCGGGTGAGACAGGAAATGCGAAAGAAACATGCAGAAAGTCAAATTCCGTCTGCCCTAAAGTTCACCGCCACACCGGATGCGTGGCAGCGCTTCGGCGGCGATTCTCCCCGCGTCTTGCTACTTCCGTTTCAACCACGACGTAGAGCAACGTTCTGACATTTGAACACCTGCGAATGGGCGTATCTATGTCGTTGTAATAGTCGGTACGCCTTTGCAGTTCCGTTTCTCTTATATTTTTGACATGACCGAGCCACGTATCCTAGTCATGCAGGCAAAGCCTCCCCGTGGGTTCTTCCTCGCTACGCAGAACCCATCACCGCCTGGTTTGCCCCTTAACCTTACTCATTCTCGAGCAATGTCCTTACTGACTAGGACTCTATTCATAGATGTTTCTTGAACTGGGAGAACTCTTGGTGAAGAGTACCGTGTGCATCCAGGATGTCCGGATCACGTTTCATTGGTGCGTGACTTTCCTTACTTGCAATGATTGGCATAGAGGAGTTTCGGACACGTCAGCGCGAGTGAACAGTGTATGTCTTTCGTTTTCCGGTGCGTGGCCTGTTTTCTCGGTACTCCTGCTTACCGTGTAAGCATGCCAATGTGTGGGCCTCTTGTTACGGTTCGACTTATCCCATCTTTGGGTCTTGATTTCTTTTACAATGAGAGACTTAGATGGGATGGTGTGTATATGCTGAGTTATGTAGGGCCAATGGTGTTGGTCTCTTGGGCATCCCGTTCCAACCTTAGCTAGCTAGTTCTTTTGAAGCACTCATAGTATCTGTAACTGTATGTAGGCTCTGTTGTGTACTGTGTCTGTTTTTTTATTCAATGAATGTACTACAAATTGCAAGCCCCACACATTGGATTGTAGCGGGAAAACTTGGCGGCATACGACGGGTGACATTTACTGCTTGAGAGGGTTGATTCCCGCTCTGTGCGATGTGAGTGAATCCGGCAATATAAAGGGTGACACTCAATCTCCTTTCTTCATACCGTGAGACAGCTGAAATGTACCACACACAGGTGAACTTTCTACCGGCAAGAGACTGAATGGAATTAGGTTTACGGGTTTTCCTTCGGTTGACATTCAACCTTTTCGAAGTGCACAGTGATGACTATTACATGGGCCCCTGATACTCATTCTCGAAACGGGCCATGAAA